AAATGATTTTTTTTTTCCTCTTGGTCTGTATGTATATGGATGTATATATGTGGGAGAGCGATGGTGTATTGAAAATGTGGGATCTGAGCACGACGTGAATGGTATGGAATAAGGGGTGGATAATGTCCTGGGTTCAGCAGTAGCAGTCATGTTTTTTCCTTTGTGTTAGCTGATGCAGTGCTGTGTTTTGACTTCTAGTTTTGAGAACAGCGTTGGTGAAGCCGATGTTTTCGGTTGTTGCTAAGTGATGTTTACCCTGACCAAGGACTCTGTGAGGCTCATGCTCTGCCAGGGAGGAGGGGAAGCTGTGAGGAAGCAGAGACGGGGCGCCTGACCCGGGCTAGCCGGGGAGGTATTCCATACCACGGCACGTCATGCCCGGGGTGGGGGGTAACTGGGAGTTACCCGGAAGGACAGGAGCTTCCGGGTGGAACTCGTTTTCTTGGCCGGTGGTATCGTATTCTCTTCCCTTGTTATTTTCCCTTATCATTGTTTTAGCTGATAGTAGCGGTGGTGATTTGTTGCTGGACTGTTCTTGTCTCAACCCGTAGGAGTTGCACTCTCTCGATCCTCCTCCCCGTTCCTCCGGGAGCGGGGAAGGGGAGAGCCCGGTGCAGGGAGGGGGGGGGAGACGAACACGGACCTTGATTGTTGTCAGCTTGGCACCACTCACTGGGAGTGAGTGAACAAGTTACCTGACTGGGTTTAAACCACGACAGCACATCATTGCAGTCGTCCCTCTCTGTTGGGCAGAGAAAAGAATTCCTGCTTTGAAGGTGGTTAATTACTGTTGATGAATATTCTGTCTGACTAATTGCAGAGCTTTATAAAGCATTGCATTTCTGTCTGTGAGTACTGCTGCAATCTAGGTATGAAAGTTACGCTACATCAAATTTGCTCTTACCTGTCTTCAGGCATAAATCACGTATTCTACCTGCAGGGACACAATCGACCACAGCACAATACAGGCAGGTATATTAGAGGCATTTTAAGAATCTTCCATTTAAGCAGGAACCCACCTCTAGGTCGGCTAAACTTGGGTTCTTGGGTGACTGTGACAGTTCGGTAGACTACATACGCTGATCTTCGTGGCTCTGAAGAATGGGAATGAGGCTTTCTTCCAGGTTCTCTCACATTAGGAAGAGAATCGTTTTCACCATCCTTACAGTGACCCTTTGGTTGGTAACTGGGTTGTGCATTAGGTTCTGCAGTGTGGCTTTCTAAAAGTGAAAAAACAAACCATACTGTTGTGCTATTACTGAAAATTTGACATACTGCAGGAGACTGAAGGCTGGAAGACAAGATTAAGAAAGTATTCATTGTGGATAGCCCAATCCAAATATAGACAGTTATGTCATTCATGAGGTAATGTTTAGCTGTAAGGACTCCACGCTCAAGTATCTTACCTCCATTTTCAAAGGATCTGCAACCAGTTCTGGAAATACTCGCTTTTGGTACTCTCCTTCCCGTACTCCCTCCTCCTCCTCTACTTGTGTTGCTCAATTCTGCAGGAATTGTATTGCTTTCACCTGTGAAAGCATCAGAAACAATGTTTCAGCTGCTGGTGTTTAAGCACTGGGAAGGGCACTGCCATTCGCTTCCTCCCACCTCTGGGAGCTTGTCATGAGTTCAGTGCAGTTGCCTTCCAACTCCCTTTTTATATTCTTCTCTCTCTTTCGGCTGTTCTTTGGATCCTGCCTGGAGTAACTCCACTACCTGAGCTATAACACTCATGCCCTCCAAGAAAATACCGTTGTACACAGAGTAAAGAAGGCACTGGCTCCAAAGGAAAGAACCAGCTCCAAGTTACCTGCTTGTTCTTCAGCTTCCCACTTCCCATGAATGGTAGTTATGAATCCTACCTGACCAAATTGATGGTATTTTCAAGCTGCCTGTCATCACAGAACTTAATGCCTCGGAGAACTCAAAGAAATGCTTTGGGTAAATCTGTCTATGCTTTCCTCAGAATGTATCTTATGAAAAATAAGGATGTGCCTTAAACCCAGATATTTCTTACTGTTTCTCTCATCTGTACTCTAAACATATATAAACATGTGCCGGAAAAAAATCATCGAAACTATTCTAACAAGATGCATTTTAAATGTAGAAAGGAGAAAACCAAGAATCTGCCAAATTCTGTGGAATAATTTAGGACTGCAAAATTGGTCAGTCAATACTATACAGTGAAAAGAATCTTAGGATGCTTCAAACTACACTACATAAATCTAGATTGTGAAGAAAAATCAAAAGAGCCGTAGCTCATTTTCCTGAGACGGTGACACAGGGTTAGGTGACTGCTGTTGGTCAGGCTGCTGAATCCCGTAAAACTCTCCTGAACATTATCAGGAGGGAAAAATACCCCTAAGTTTACTGTGTGTGCAGCATGGCTGCTCAGAAAAGCGTGAGAACTCCTTTCGTACTTACCAGATTTATAGCATATTTCCTTTATTGCTCTTTCCTCTTTGATATCCTCAGCAGTCTTATCCACCCAGTGAGAAACACCTGTGGGAAATAGTTTTAAAAGATTAGGAGATAGATAGACAAAGACCTTCAACAATTCTTAACAGTCAAATACATAATGAATTACACTTGGTTACGCTTTTTGGCTCTTAGTTTTCCTTTTTATTTCCTTCCCAATTACAACCTCTGCTTCTGGACAGGGAAATCATTCCTTTAGATTCACTCTTCATGTATGATACGTATGAATTCTGCCTCATTAAATTGATGGCATTTTCAAGGTGCCTGTTATCACAGAACCTAAAGCCTCAGAGAACTTGGCTGAAAAAAAGCTTTGGGGAAACATATCTGTCCTTTTCTTGAAATATACCACTACATCTCATCCTCTAGACACCAGAGAGGTTCAGCAGAGAGTTCAAAATGCCTCTGAGAAAGCTGTTTTTTACCGTTCTTTGGCATCCTCACGGTGCAATAAATAGCCCTATCAGAGTGTAAATAGGGAATCTTGTCCCTGTTTACAAGAGAGAGCCTGCTAGAGAAATTGAAACCAGTTCTTAACATTAGAATGGTTAGAGTACATAAATTGTGATTTTGAAGAAGAATTACACAAAAAACTGATGTTGTGTACCCGAGGAAAGTACTCCTGGGGTTAATATGCAGTCCATTTTCACCTTTTCCAGTGACAATTGATGCAGGTAGTCACCACCTGTGTGATACCCATACACACAAATAAGAAGAAAAACTAAGTATTTTTATGATATTTGCAAACGCCTTAGGACTGTCCTGAGTTCAAAAAGTGGAGAGGAGGGGCAAACTGTGTCCTAGTTTCTCCTTGTAAGAGTAATTCCAAAAGTGGTACCCATTGTCCGAGGCGATGAAAAGTACTTGGCTTTCTGCAAGTCCCACTGGGTAGCTTCCGAGGGCCGTAGCTCAGTTTCCTGGGACGGTGACACAGGGTTAGGTGACTGCCGTTGGCCAGGCTGCTGAATCCCGTAAAACTCTCCTGAACATTATCAAGAGGGAAAAATACCCCAAAGATTACTGTGTGTGCAGCATGGCTGCTCAGAAAAGCGTGACAACTCCTTTCGTACTTACCAGATTTATAGCATATTTCCTTTATTGCTCTTTCCTCTTCGATATCCTCAGCAGTCTTAGGCACACAGTCAGTAACATCTGTGGGAAATATTTTTAAAAGATCAGGGGATAGCTAGACAAAGACCTTCAACAATTCTTAACAGTCAAATACATAATGAATTTCACTTGGTTATGGTTTTTGGCTTTTAGTTTTCCTTTTTATTTCCATCCCAATTACAACCTCTGCTTCCGGACAGGGAAATCATTCCTTCACATTAGGTACTTCCAAGGGCAAGGGAATTGCAGTTACAAGCCTTGTAAGAAGATAACATGTGTTGACTTAAAATTATTAGTACTTTAACTTCTGCAGTGTGTGTCTTAGAGCAGGTTGTTCTCTCCTTTCACTCACCGGGAATGTGCAGTTCATCTCTTCCCTATGGATCTGCCATCTCTAAATGAGATTCACTGAATGGTTCAACCGCATTTAATAAGTTTTAAAACCTAAGGACCTAAGTATATAAACATACACATTCAGGTAAGCTAGGAAAGAGCTTGGTATGCATTGTGTTTGCTAGACGTCAGAATAATGTTTTGTAATGAGACTGCCTATGGAGTTGAGGAAATCAGTTGAGGAGATTATTTAAGTTGAATTCACAAATTATCTGAATTGGGGATCACTTTTTAAAGTCTAGTTAATGAGAAAGAGGAATGTGAGTTATACCACTGTTGAAACATACAGCTGGGCATTTCACAGGAATTAGAAAATGATGCCTCACTCGCAGCTGGTGACTGTCAGGTCTGATAATTTGGAGATTTGCTGGAAACTCTTTTAGCAACTTGTCAACCACTCTTTTATGCAAATAATGCTCATTCTAATGAATCAGTTGAGTGAGAAGTACACTATAATGTTTTACAAAATACCTTCTACTTGCTTGTAAAGGATAGAAAAAACTTGCTTACAGTTCTCTTCATTGTCCTCTTCATCATCTTCTTCATCATCCTCTTCATCGTTGAGGTTTATAATCAGTGGAGAGTGAATTGGTATTACAATATTCCCTGGACGTGTGTGTGAGCCTTGACACTGGGCTGGAGGCAGAATCACTTCTTGGTCAGCCTGTGGCAATAGCGCATCTGCAGAAAAGAGCAGGATCGGTACTAGAGAGATATAATCTACCAAATACCCAAGGAAAAATCATTCCTGCTCTGTGGATCTCAGCAATCTAAGCTACCGTTCATGACTTCATCTTTCATACCACTGGTAGCTATGACAATTTGTAACATGATAGGCAAAATTCCTGCAACAACATTCCAATGCCAAAGCATTCCAATGCCAAAGCATTCCATGACTTCAGTATCTCGCTATAGCAGATCATGCCTGACTGTCTTGGCATGGTACGTTTCTTGCCCTTATTATACAATAGAACAAGAGTAGAAGGATATTTTCTGAATTCTAATGAAAAATCTGTTGAGAAAATATTTTTACTCACTGTTAGTAGGTGGCAGAAAAAGTCCATTGATATAACGAGGTTTGCTGTGATGGAAGGCACAGTTGATCCTCACACAGCCTGAGGGTTGTCTTTCCCACAAGCAGGCAATGTTCTTTAACTTCTGCTGCAGGAGGGAACAGTTTTCAGATACTGTAAATGAACTAGTAAAAATGGACTTAATGGATCAGTACATGATGTAACTACTGTGCACATACAAGTAAGACTTGGTGGGAGTGTATTCTGATATTTCAGAACATTTAAAGAGATCTTGAATAAAATCTGCCGTACATGTGGCAAATCTCACACAATTACTCTCTTACTATTACGAGTACATGGGTCTGTGGGAAAATGAGAAGTAAAAAACAAACCCCACAAAGATTCCTGACAAGAAACAAAAGCCTAGACATTTGGGAACTTGTAATCCTTGCACAGACCTGTCACACTTGGACTTAAAAATCTGGAAAAAAATCTTTTTTTTTTTTTTTCCAGTTCCCATTGGAAACATCAGCTCGGCTGCAGAAAGTCACTTTTGTTTTCAGACTTAAACATGTGTTTTGAAGGGACTTGCTCCTTTCCACCTGCATTTCCGTATCTCTAAATCCACTGAACAGATGCAACTATCTCCATTTTCATAGTGGGCGCACAGTACCGCATCCAAGAGGTTTTCCACACTGACAGAATCTGCACCCGAAGAAAACAAATTTCTGGAGATTCACACTGGTTTCCCATACCCCCGTGGCTGTCATAAAGGTGACTCTGCTCTTTTAAAAGATTTTGGTTTTAATAAATGGGGAAGATGATGCAGTAGTCCATGTATAACAGTGTCACAGTGACAAATGCAAACTCATGTTTCTATCCTGGATACAAACCGCATCCAGGCTGAGAGCTATACACGCCAGGTGACCTGTTGTTTCTCAGTGAGTTTGTGTGTGAGTTTTTAAAGGCAACAAAGACACGCTTTAAAATATTAGAGTATTTGAAGGTCGGTTTCACCCAGTGCCAGACATTTAGAAAGAAAAGAGGCCACGTCTGGACTGTAGTCAGGAGAACTGGCCTATACCTGGAGAATCTCTGGGGTCAGGAGCCAAAGCCAATTTCCCAGCCATTAGTGACAATTAATCATCCCCCAGTGATGAAATGTGGACAATAACCAAGTGTCCATATGGCCACCCTGATTTTCACTCAGTGGAATTTAAGTAATTTTTTTGAGGACAATCCCTTTCTGAAGAGCTTTGTTTTAAACAAGAGATTTTACAGTAATTCAGGAAGTTGCTCCAAAAAGAAATTATAAACGTGGTCTATTTGTTCAGAATTAGTATTATGTTGACTCAGTAAGAAAGTGATGAGTGGTCTATAGGTGTGATTTCCAACTTCTATGTTCTTTGATTGCCTGTGCGCTGTTGAAATTGTATATAGTTTAGATTACCTTTAGCTCTTCTCGACACCTCTGAAAATTATGTATTTTGATTTACAGGTGCTGCTGTGACACAGAGAAGATGCCATAGCAACTTGAAAGTTTACATAATGGTCCTCCCTTTCAACATGGAGATATCAAGAAAATCAAGGATACAAACCACTCTAAAATCTAAAGTATTTACCTGTGCATAGGGGGAATGAAAATGGAAATTGAGTTCATTCTCTGCTGCTGCTATCTTCACCTCTTCTACCTGTCCTTTTCTCTCAATACTCTCTGAACAGACATGAAAACATGAAAGCTTTTACATTCTGGCAAACCGTAATCTTATCCTAAAATCAGTAGCTTTGTTTCAAAATCTGGACCTTGAGAATATTAGCTCTGCTGGGGTTTTTTTGAAACAAAACTCCACAAAGCAATAGGCTTCGAGGAAGGATGTGGTACCTTCAGGCATCCTGAGCTGAAGGAGGCAGCTGCTGTCCGGTGTAGAGTGTTCCGTTTCCACGGTTGCCAACGGCTCCTCCTGCTGGTGACATCAGCACGATGGTTCCATGTGGCCTGTCCAGCTTGAACATCTTCCTTTCTCTTGTTGCTTCAGAGTAAAGTATGGAAAACGGGACCGTCTCTCAGAGTCTCCCATTCTGGTGTTTCTTTACTGTAAAATGTAGTAGGGTGCTAGGTGTTAACTGCTTACATTGCTGGCGTTCCTTGTTTTTTCTTGTTTCTACGATGTCCACATCTGCCACAGCAGAAAGAGCAACGGACACATGGATCCCTAACAAAAACTGCTGTTCCCATTCAGGTCCCAGGCTGCCTCTGAACAAACAAAATATTTGGGGGGGGGGGGGCGGAAATTAAATTTTGGTCCTGGAAATCAGTGAAGGCATGCTGTTATCTCCAGTTCGTGGGGTCAAATCCACAGCAGTGAGAGACATCTGTGACTTGGAAATGAACACCTATGAGCACTTTTTTATTAAAACGGGGAATTTAGGGAAAACAAACAAATAGAAAATCACAAAGTAAAAAAACCCAACAAACTCCACAAGAACCCAACCCAGCAGTGCATGGTGACTAGACTCACAGGACAGGTCAGCAGAGCACAGCGGTGCTGTATGACATTAGTGTGCCAAGGCAGGACTGACTGGGGCACACAGGGGAAGGAGAATTCAGGAAAGCAGATGAGGGCCATGAGTAAGGAGCCATCAGTGGGCAGAAGCAGCCCAGGGGCTGGATAGCCCAGGGGCTATCCACAGAGGCTCTGTAGTTGCGCAGCTGGGCCTACATGAGGCACAGAAGCAGGGCTGGTCAGGAAGAACCGATTCTGCCCTGGGTTTGTGTGGCAAAGATGTGGTAGCTGGGGGCTACAGGGAGCAGCTGCTGGAAGCTTCCCATGTGTCCAACAGGGCCAATGACAACAGGGGAGAAGGGACTGGTGAGGAGGTGGTGTTGAGAAATTTGACTTTTATTTTTTCATGCCCCTGCTCGGCTGCGATTGGCAATAAACTGAGAGAAAAGAGTGAGCGATCTCTGTCCGTGTCCTTGTGTCGACCGACGAGCCTTTCGTTTTATGTTCTCCCCTCTGTGCAGCTGAAGAGCACAGCGGCAAAGCAGCTTTGGTGAGCGAGTGCCTGGCGTCCAGGCACAGTCAAGCGGCAGAGACTCAAGGGTTGTACGCCGAGGCAGAGCCTGGGTAAGGACAGCAGGCGGCTGTCCTGAGGGAGAGGTCCCCACAGCTTGGGGCCTCAGGCCGGCCTCGGCCTCGCGGCCGCCGGGACCCATCTCCGAGCACAACTGTGGCTCCCGGGCCGGCCCTGGCCCGGCGGCAACTGCCGCTGGGGAGAGCGGAGCTGCCCCAGGCCCGCGGCCGGGCCGGGCGGGGCGGGGCGGGGCGGCGGAACCGACCCGAGGCTGCGGGCTGCTGGACACGGGCAGCCCAGCTCACCCACCGCGCCCACGGCCGTGCCGCAGAGCTTGGCGGGGGGGGCAGTAACGGGCTCCACTTCCCGTGGCGCCCCGCGGGCGCGGCGCAGGCGCAGTGTGGGCTGGGTTCGGCTCGGCTCGGCTCGGCTCGGCTCGGCGCTGGCGGTGGGTTGGGGCCGGGATCATGAGGCGTCGGGGTGCGGTGCAGCGGAAGGTGCCGTGTTTGTTCGTGACGGAGGTGAAGGAGGAGCCGTCGGCCAAGCGGGAGCGGCAGGTGGTCGGGGCGGCACGGGGCTGGGAGGGCGGTAGGAGGTGGGGGCCCCAGTCTCCGCGGCGGGGCCGAGTCCGGTGCCGGGTCGAGCTGACCGGAGCGCACCCGACGGGGTGAGTCAGCCGAGTGGTGAGAGGTTTGGCTGCAGGTCTCTGGCGAAATGGACGGTGGCGTATCCAGGTGCTCACGCAAGAGTCGGAAATGGTCACGGCAAGGAACGAGCCTGCTCCACCGTGGACAGACTGGGAGTTGTGTAAAACTGTCGCGCCATGCCCGCCTGTGAGCCTTGTGGGGAATAAACGCGCTTTTTTCTCTTCTGTTTTGTTGTGATCCGGGCAGTAACAGGGTTATGCGGGAAGAATTCCTTTGAGGCTGTAAAACGTGGGATATCTAATAAGGGGAAAGTAGTGGATCCGAGTCAACGTTACGACTTCCTGAGATGGAAATGGCAGTGTCAAGACAGACTGGGGTGTGATTCGCCTCTCTAGCCATAGACCTTCAATCTTTCTTACCTGGTTTTAGGAGCAGTACCTACTGTTTTCTGTCAGCTGCATGGTGAACTTTTATCCGTGTGGGTGACTTTCACCCTTTAGTATTTCACTTCTGGACGGAAGAGCTGAAATGATTGCCAAGACTTCAGTAACTAAGTTGTTCAACTCTGAGTAGCAACACCATCGTGGTAATGGTCATGTAAGGGTCTCCCTATGTATTTTCTTAATTCATGCAGAAGAAACCATTAGGGGATTAGGTCTAGAACTGGCATACGCTGTGTTTTCCCTTTTTTCAAACTGCAGGCAAGAATTCCAGAGGGGGTTCTGTTTGCTGGGGAAGAAGGGTGGTGGTGGTCAGAAAACCAACGGGAATTTTACCTTCTTACCCTGAACGATTTTCATGTAATCTTCATAAAATTGTCATAGATGATTGCAAATCTGTTTTCTAAAATAGAAAACAGCCCATTGATACAAAGAAAGCCTGTAGAAGGTTCTCATTTTATGAATTCAGAGTTCTGTTTTGAGATTCACAACTCATAGGTGTCCTGGGAGAGAGGAGGAAGGGGAGATGATTTTGCAGGAACATTTGAATCCAAACACGACTGGTGATATGTTTACAGTGATGCTGTTACAGAACCCCGCTTAGAAATTTGGAATAGTTGTGGGTGGCTGTTTATTTCAGATGCCTGGATCACTTGTGTCTTTGCTCTTGGAAGTGGAAGACTGTTTAGTTGGCAGCTCTGATACCAAGTGTGTAACATCAGGATGCTTTTGCTACCTTGTGTTGCACTGGCCCTTGTATTTCATGGCATAAAATGGTGCTGTTGGCTTCCAGTTCCGAACTGAGAGCTTGGAGCAGCTCATGGGGATGAATTTCTGTTGCCATTGTCATACAGGAAGGCACATCCAAATACTGCAGCATTAGCCTGGAGCCCTTCTAGTTTATATGCACTACTTGAAGTGCATAAAATGGCAAAATTATCTCTAAATAATAAACAAGTGTGGAAAAGGGGGAGAGAGTTTGCAAAGAGATTGCCTTTGGTCTTCTGTATTAGAGCATTTTCCAGGCTGCCATGTCTTGAGGAAACTGGTGTATTTTGATAGGGTTAGAAATCAGGAATAGGATGAGTAAGACTTGGCTTCTAGAGTCCAGTTGTCAGGAGCAAGAATCCACATGAGAAAAAAGACAGTAATCTAGCCATGATGAGGGTTTAAAATACCTGTCTTTTTTTCAGCCGTTTAAAGTTTTGGCTACTGAAACTATAACTGCAAAGGCGATAGAGGCAGATATATACAGTGCAATTCCTACTGAAAAGGTGGATGGAACCTGCTGTTACGTAACTACCTACAAAGGTAATGCAACGGTTTTGTGAGTTTTCTCATGCTGAGTAGAAGCCTTGTTTTATGTAGCTTTTGCTTTTGTTGTGAGGTTTACTGGATTACAGCTTTTGTGAATGCAGCTGCCATTGAAGATCTTGACCACGCAGTAATAGTTACCGTAACCATAGGTCCATGTAGTCTAATGAATGTATGAATTTATGTAGTGTCTTTGGCCGTAAAATAATTTCTCTTGTTGCAAATGAGAATTCATACCTTGTCTTTTATGTACTTGATTTCAGCGGGTATGGTCACCTCGGTAAACTGCTGGTTTTCTTTCTCTGGAAACTCTAGGGCAACCCTATCTGTGGGCTAGGCTGGATTGTAAACCTAACAAGCAAGCTGAAAAAAAGTTTAAACAATTCTTGTATTCATTGGAAGATTGCAAAGGTTGGTGAAGATTTCTTACTTTTTCTTTTCCGATAGAAGTTAATCTAGTTTGCAAAGCGGCTCTCATGTAATGCAGGAAATGTCAGTGATCATACTCAAATTATTTTAATGTCACTCTTGAAGAGAACTTTAGAGTCGACTGGGGAAGGAGATACCAAAAGCAGTGCAGTGGGTGAGATAAGGGCTGGCATGGTATGGCCAGTGGGTGGCAATGCCTGTGGGAACGTTTACAGGTCTCCTGGGAGCATGGAGAGCTCAGGAGTGTGTCTGAAATTCTTGTCCACCAGTGCATGCAGTGTGAGAAGCAAACAGCATGAAATGGAAGCATTGGTTAGCTCCCAGAATTACACTATCATCGGTATTATTGATACTTGACGGAATGAGTGGCGCGATTGGAGTGCTGGGAGGGAGGCCTACAGGCTGTTTAGGAGGGATAGAGAGGGCAGGTGAGGTGGAGGTGTTGCACTGTGCATGAGGGAAAGGTTTGACTCTACAGTCTGTATGGTTAGTAGGTGATGCAGTTGTGAAGTAGGGGAAATGGAAAACAAAGGAGTCGTTGTAGAGGGGTGTCTACTTCCAATAGCCCAACCAGGATGCAAGCAGCAGTAAGTTATTTCATAGGCAATTAGGAGATGTTTCCGGATCGGTAGCCCATGTCCTTGTGGGAGATTGCGATTTCCCAGACATCAGCTGGGAATATCATACTGCTGTGATGAGCAGGTCTTGGAAAGGAAATCCTATGATCTCCGGAAGCAAGGTCGGGCTTTGCTGGAGTATTAGAGAGACATGGTTTGTATATCATAGAACTGTAGGGTAGTTAGGGTTGGAAAGGACCTTAAGATCATCTAGTTCAAACCACCCTGCCATGAGCAGTGACACCTCACACTAAACCGTGTCACCCAAGGCCTTGAACACTGCCAGCGATGGAGCGTTCACAGCTTCCCTGGGCAACACATTCCGGTGCCTTATCACCCTTACAGTAAAGAACTTCTTCCTCATATCCAATCTAAACTTCCCCTGTTTAAGCTTTAACCCGTTACCCCTTGTCCTGGCACTACAGTCCCTAATGAAGAGTCCCTCCCCAGCATCATTATAGGCCCCCTGCAGATACTGGCAGGTTGCTATGGGGTCTCCACGCAGCCTCCTCTTCTCCAGAAAAAAAAATCATGCAGGAAAAAGACACGAAGGGCCTCAGGTGAGGGAGCTAGTCCTGTTAGGGCAGGACCCCTCCTGATCATCTACCAAAAAGGTCTTGGGAGTTGGGAAGTCTGCACTGACTGGAATCTAGCCAGTGTTACTCCAGTCCTCAAAAAGGGCATGAGGGAAGACCAGGGAACCTACAGACCTGTTAGTCTAATGTTGGTTGCAGAAAAAATTATGGGGAAGATTCTGCTTGGTTCTGTTGAAAGTCATTTAAAGAATAAAGAAATAGTCGTCTGGCACAGTCACATGGATTTACAAAGGCAAAGTCCTGTTTAACTAATTTGGTATCCTTCTATGATTAGGTCACCTGCCTACTGGATGAAGGGAAGGTGGTGGGGGTAGTTTTTCTGGACTTTAGTAAGGCTTTTGATACTGTCCCTGACAGCATCCTTCTGGAGAGGTTGGCCAACTGTGGGGACTAAGAAGGTTCACAGTGTGCTTGGTGAAGAAGTAGCTGAAGGGCAGAGCTCCCAAGGTTGTAGTGAATGGGACTGCATTTGGCTGGGGACTGGTCACCAGTGGTGTTCCTCCTGGCTCAGTTCTACAGTTCTGGTTGACAGCAGCATTCCCTGGCAGCCCAGAGGGCAAACTGCATTCTGGGGTGCATCAAACCAGCATAACCAGCTGGTCAAAAGAGGTGATTATCCTGCTGTATTCAGTGTTGGTGGAGCCTCACCCTGAATCCGGTGTGCAGTTCTGGGCCCTAGAGCTTGAAGGACATTAAGGTCCTTGCATGCGTTCAGAGGAGGGCAACAATGGTGGTAATGGGGCTGGAAAGAAGGTACTCTGAGTGCTTCGGGCTTGTTGAGTTTGCAGAAAAGGAGGCTGAGTGGTGATATGTTTTCCTCTCTACAGCTTCCTGAGGAGGGGAAGTGGAGAGGGTTTAGACATTAGGAAGCTTTTCTTTACTAAGAGGGTGGTCAGACACTGGAAGAGGCTTCCTAGAGAGGTGGTCAATGTCCCAGGCCTGTCACTGTTCAAAAGGCATTTTGACGATGCCCTTAACAACAACAGCGTGCTTTAAGTTTTGGTCAGCCCTGAATTGGTCATGCAGTTGGACTGGATGATTGTTGTGGGTCCCTTCCAACCAAAATTCCGTTCTGTTTTGTTCTTATTTATCTTGTTCCACTTTAAATACAATGTTGGCTATTTAGATGCCTATTTCCGCTTCTTAGTTTTGAACTTTTAAACTACACCATCCTAATTGTAGCTTGCCTGAGTGTGCCAGATTTTAGTGCTTGTACTAATTGGGACTACTGCCTGTAAAACAAAGTTTAGATCAGTGGTATTTTAATAGTTGCATTGAAAGACGATCAAAACGTAAAATTGGCTAAGAGTTTGCCAGGAACTAAATGTCGTACTTACACATCTAGAATTTGCTTGGAACATTGAAGAGGATTTCAAGCCTGTTCCAGATACCTGGATTCCAGCAAAGGACATAGAGTTTTCTAATGGCAATCCCTTGCCTGATGAGAACGGACATATGCCAGGTACTTAAGATGCAGAATGGGTAAAGTGGGTGGGGGGAAATCCATTTTTGAAGTTAATTAGAATTAGTTGTAGAGTAAAAAGTAGTAGTTAACCTGTTCAGAAAAGAATTGCATGTCATTCATTCAGTGTCTAGAAAGGCTTTGTTCTTCTGACACAATGAAAATAATTGCAGTTTGCTGTACAGTCTTACAGGGCTTCAGCTGAAGGCATAGTTGTCCTGTTTGCATTCCTCTGACATTTCTCTGAGACACAACAGAGTTTCTCTTGTTACTCTTTCTGTTCGGAGTTAATGGTGTGTATTGTTGTTTTGGGTTTTAATGCATGTACAGTTCTACTACATGTTTGATAACTTCAGGTATTTACTTTGGTAAAATGAAATGTTTTCTCCTAGGTTGGGTGCCTGTGGAGAAAAATAGTAAGCAGTATTGCTGGCACTCATCCGTTGTAAATTATGAGGCTGAAATAGCACTGGTATTGAAACACCATGCTGATCCAGGGCTTCTGGAAATCAGCCCGGTGCCATTATCAGAAATTTTAGAGCAAACACTGGAGCTTATTGGGACTAATATTAATGCAAATCCGTATGGTAAGTTTCTATGGTCTTTTCTTAAATACTTTCCTATTTGGTGATATTTTTGAGTTAAGTCAATGCTTTTTTTTTTATTTGCTTTTTTTTTTTAATAAGTTTTTTTAAAAGTTCCAAGTTAGCAGTGTAACTTTTTTAGAAAGGAGAGAAAGGGCTGGCTCAAAAAACACCCACCCAGAAATGCTCGCCTCAGAAAGCTGAGTTTTTACGAAACTATGTTTAGTAAACCTGTTTTCACCTGCGTGTTCTTCAGGAGTTACTAGAAGAATGCTTTGCATTACTCTTTAGTTGTTTAAAATGTTACTATTAAAATACTAAAATATTTAAGATTGTTTGTTAGTGTCTTTTCTTGACTTTTTTTTTTCCTTGCTCTTTTGATGTTCTTTATTCCCTTAAAGCAGAAAATGATTGCTTGTTTTTTTTTTCCTGTAAAGTCAGAAATTGTAATTTTTTAATTATAAAATCTTATGAATACTTTTTTAGGGAAATGTAATTTAAGCTAAATTTTGGTTGTGGCTTCTCTGTAAAATCCTTACAACAACAAAAATAGATATGAGCACAACTGATTTCTGAGCGTTGCTGTTAGGGTAACTTGCAAGGACAGATAGGAAAAATAGTATCTGGTCTAAGCATTTTCTCAGAATGTAAAGGAAATGCAACACAAAAGTTTAATGGCTGTATTCTTAAATGGAGACTTACACTGAACGGTCAGCGAAGCAGCAATGCAGTTGTTAACAGCCTGGCTTAAGTATTAATCTATATTTATAAGAAAATATATAAATAAAAGGTTACGTGAGGAAGAAACAGCTACATTTGGTACTTAAAAGTACGTATTTAACTGTTCCCTTAAACAGTTCTCTTAACTGTTACAGAATCTAATAAAAGTCTACCTTTAATAGTGCTTTAGATAGCCATAGTAACAAAAGTGAGGAAAATCTTAACGCACGTAACTAGCAGCAGTTGTTTGTTTTTTTTTCTCTTAACGTAGGATTAGGAAGCAAGAAGCAGCCTGTACATCTTCTTGTGCCACATGGAGCATTTGAAATAAAGAATCCGCCCCTCTGAAACAAAATGACATACTATCTTGGTTTGAAGGCTGCAGTGAGGGTAAAGTGGAAGGAATTGTGTGGCACTGCAATGATGGGTGTTTAATCAAGGTAAATATATATGTGGGCATGGGGGAAGCAGTAGAGTAATTCATACGACTTCAAGTGAGGTATTCACTTCTTGTCTCGCTTTCCAAATTCTTTAGTAGTAATGTTCTCCGAGCAAGTGAGATGACAGTAGAATTAGTCAAGACAGTGAATCACTACAGTGACAACATACTAAACTTTTTCATTATCTACATTATGCTAATAAGGTAATTGAGAACATAGTATTTTCTTGCCTCTCAGTATAGGAATACTCAACATTTTAAAGCTTCGTTTCTTTGTCTTAAAAATTCCTTTCTTGTAATGTTGACTTACAGAACAAGTATCGCTAATAAGAATGTGGGTTTTGATTAACTGGCAGGTTCGTATTTTTTCCTGAAGCTCTGGGTGACACCTTGGTTCTGGTTTGTCTTGTGCTTTGCTGTTACTCGTGTTACTCAGATAACTGCTTAATGATTCTAAGTGCCCCAGTGCAGAGGATTTTCGAATGAAAGCACATGCACACCCACACCTCCCTGCAAGTTGGAACTGTTGGGCTACTATACCAGAACCTCTAAGCTGATTTTACTTCTTTCTATTTTAGCTCCATCGCCATCATCTTGGCTTACGCTGGCCACTTGCAGAGACGCACCTCAATTCTCAGCCGGTTGTAATTTCTTTTAATAGAGCTAAATATGACTGTGACTTTGAACCAAAGAGTTTGTTTCACCATTTTTCAAACTTGAATGGTCAAAGATTTGACAGACTCCAAGATATCAAGTTTGATGCTTGATATGGGTTTTATGAGCTACATTCCTCCTGCGTCTACCACAGAACTCTTTACAAATAATCTCCTATCTCGGGCAACGGCCTAGGTACTGTGTGCAATGTTAAGTTTTTCCTAAATGACTGATTTGATGTAGCGAGAGATCCAACATCCAGAGCAGAGATCTAGCTTTTAGCATGTTTCTTTTCAGTTCGGAAAAATTCTTAACTTTTGAATCCATTTCTGGAAACTGTTATAAGTTAAGTGTCAGAAGCATACTGTAAAGGATGTATTTCAGGTGGGCCCATAAAATTGCATTTTTTATTTTTTCTAAGTTGTAGCAGTTTCTTTTGGTGGAAAACTTTTCATTGGTATTACTTAACTGGTAAACTGCAGCATTATACTGTTACTCAAAAGCCCACTCAAGCTATACGCTACTTAAGTCCGTCTGCTATTTTGAGACAAAAAGCGTGAAAGAAAGTAAACTTCTATTTTAGAGGTCCTCAGTGATTTGAGACATGACTTGGCTCAATAACACCCAGACTGCATCTCAATTAGGAAACTTCATCAAGGGCATATTAAGGAAGATGACCTATAAGTAATAAAGGTGAGACCGCCCGATTGTTTGGAGTTGGCTTTATTTGTGCTGTAAAAGTATACATCCAGCTATATAAAATATACAAAATGAAAAATTATTTAAATACCAAAACACCATTAGATTGGTTGAAATACTACTATAACTTTATTTTCAATTCTTTGTTCTTGGATTTTCTAAAATTTGAGGTAAAAACAGTCAGGGATGTAAGCGCAGGTAGTCAGCACACTGACCCTGAGTCCACAGTTAAGGATGATAGCGCGAGACAGCAGAACGAATTGCACGTTTTTACTGGTCTGGAACTTGGCAGACTTGGTACATTTTAAGAGTTTCTTGACTTACAGGGTAAGTCCAAGGTTTCAACTTCGCTTAACACCTGTGTATAACTCAAATTACTGTTCTAAATTAAGATACAGTATTGCAAAGGGGCTGGGAGAAGTAAAACTCATTTTTGACTGGTGTATATAAATACTGACCATAATCTGTCGACTAATCCAATTCTGTGCTCTTAGGTATGTGCCAAACTATTGTAACTTCAATAGACTTGTATTATTCCGAGATAAAAAACAGATAAAATAAATATTATGAAATTGCCCCCGAATTTATTTACTGTATTAATACTGAGGACACTAAACACTAGCCTAATCAACAGAAACATTGCCTGGACTATCCCCTTGAATGCCAAACTCTTCAGAAAGCTGCTTTAGTTTCTCTTCTAAGATAATATTTTTTTTAACTTCTTCACTGTAGTTATATTTCAGATCTTCAATTTCTTCAAAAAAGGAAGGGCCATAGTTTTCTAGTTCTCTTCTCAGCGCTTTTGTTTCTTCCTGTTAAAAAGAATGAAGGAATACACTACCTTTATCCGGAACTTGGGAAATACATGTCAACAACTTAAGTGGTAAATGATGAGATAATAATAAGCATGTTCTCTAGAGACACTAGATATTAGTTTAGATATTAACCAACTCCTCCTAGATAACCACTGTCTCATTGTCTTGCCCAGGATGATCTTTGCAACTCACCCTTAATTGCTGTTTCTCCAGCTCAGAGGCTTTCAACTGTGTCTGGAGGTCAGCTGCTTCCATTAACCTGTCACTTTTATCCTTCTGTAAAATTTCATTCTGTCCTGCAAAAGTCATGGTAATTTGTTACAAAATTTAAGGTAATGAAAAACAATGATACGAGTTATCTTGTCACAGTAATTCTGCATCCCCTGAAAGCTGAACAATTTGTAACAGTGTGTAAACCCAATGGGGATCAACAACCACCAAAAATTCAAGTCACTTGGGCTTTAGTTCTTACACAAATTAAGTGGGTGTGTCTGGCTCCTGTAACTGAATGCAGTGCTCCCATTGCCAGTCCTGCATTCAGTTTCTCTGAGTTAAATGCAGGAAATTTGGCAATAACGTAGTGTAAGGATCTTGTTAACTATAATCATAATTTCAGAAAGGGTTAGTTTTTCTTTTCCCAGTCATACGGCAACGTGCTGCTCTATAGTGCTCTGCTTTTCCCTTGGGAGTCTTAAACTATTTGCAGAGCTGGTATCTGGGAAGAGATGAATAGAATTCTATGGCAGCTTCCAACCCAAGGCAGAAGGGGTAATAAGCAGGAGGATTTCAGTGAATGACTGACACAAGAAGTCTTTTGAGGTTTATAAAGCAAAGCGATGAACTATACATCCTCTTGGAAAGGGAAATCTGACAAATATTACGAGCTCTTGTTCGTAAGATCTTAAAAATCTCCGCAATTAGTTAACACTTCTCTATAAACCCCTTGTGAAAGTAACTCCAAAATCCAGGACCTTAATTTGCTCCAGTTTACGCTACTCTGTAATTAACATAATTCACATAATTCTGTAGGTTTATTACCATTTTGCACATACATTTTAACCTATTTTTACTTAAGGCCCCAAATACAGGAGGATCATCATTTTAGTATTGAAAACGATTACCAGCTGCAGAAACTTCGCTTGTACATGTGTGCATGTGGTGCTTATAATCTTCCACCTGCTGAGCTAGTTCTGCTTTGTCTTTCTCTAATCGGTTATTAGTTAATCTGGAATATAAAACATTTTTAGAATAATTTTTAAAAACTGTTAAACTATTTTAGAATATAAAATATATAAGTAAAAATCGCGGTGGCCGTTTCCTGATTATTCTCATGTATATTGGCTGAATTATTTATTTAGGTATTTAAAGAGTACATTACCTTAAAAGCTGAAGCTCCCTGAAAAGGCTTTGCTCTGTCCTTGTACCTTCAGGAAACTGTTTGAGAAGCTCAATCTTAAAAGAAAAATTAAGAAAGTTTTACTCTTGAAACAGTATCCAGAGGTAATACAGTTCAGATGGAGTTCTCTTTGATACCGAATTAGAAAAATGAATGAAAATAATACTAAGGACATAACCAGGTACTAGATCATCAGAGTGTTCATCTACTGACAGTTTTCACAAAGCTAATTACCTACAGAGGGGTGTAGCCTCTTCAAGTGCTTTTCAGTAGAGGATGCAGGAGCAAAAAATCAGAGGCTATACGAGCAAAAAATACAAGACTATATATTTGAATGAAGTGACAATTTATGAACTCTCCTAAGGCTATGGTCAGTGATAGCCGTTCGTTCTATTATTAACTAAAATGATAAGGATTTGTTTGGTTGTGTTTATTTTTTTTTAACAACCATCAATCTCTTGTTTCTTTTTAATGTAGCTACCCTTGACACATCTCTTCATCAGTATTTGAGACACAAAACAAACTGGGAAGTGTGTTGCTCCACAGTAGCATCACATAATGAAATAATTTTCTCTCTGTGTTAATTTTGCTGCTGTTGTACACTTCCTGTTAATAATCTGACTTTAGAAAAGGAAAACCAAACACAAATTAACAAAATTTTTTTTTTATAGCACTCAATTCCAAGTTCTATTTATTGAATGCTTTCGTTGCCTACAGGAAATATATGACTTCCTATAGTGGAAGTTGTGTGTTTGATTCAGTACAACAAGAATGGCCAGTACAAGATGCCTGGGGAGCAAAACCCTGCACGTATTAATAAATGAGGGGATGGAAGCTAACCTAGGTGGGTAGTCCTAGGGCTGCATCTGCAAAGTACTTAAAAGCCAAAATTTGATACATCTTTTCAAAGGTGCCGGAGTTTAAAATTTATCAACTCTTCCATGTGTGAAATAATGTTTGTATGACTTATTAGGGACTGCATATTCAGAGGCCATATTGGTAATAGGCATGAAGATCCATGCCCTTTATGGTGGCAGAGTTAATCAGTCCCCCAAAAAAGACCTGGAAGAGGTAAGTTCCTCCAGCAAACTCACTCCTGCAGTGGAACAAGCTAGAAAGATTTTATTTGAAGCATCTGTACCTACATGTGATCAATGAAAGCTATCATTAAAAAAAAAAACCAAACAAACCAACAACAAACACATGGAAGAATACTACAGAAAAAAAAAATTCCCCTAAGACTGCAAGTCAGAAGTATATGTTGATAATCTGTAGTAAACCTCATTAATGGCTAAAACATGTAAATGTACAGGTACAGCAACCAGGGCTGAAAAAACCCATAAAAGCATGGATCAGAGAAAAATAACAAACCAAACTCTGCCCATATAGATATTAGAAAGAAATAAATATTAAGCAATTTATTCTCAGAGTCATCTGGCTAAATTTTACTCACTTGTTCTTTTAGATCTTGTAAGTTTTTATCAGCATTCTGTTCACGTTCTGTTGCTTCCTGCAGCAGCTGTTTAAGGTCAGTAATGCTTTGGGTTTTTTTAGCAATATGCATTTCCATTTCCTTTATCTTCGTTTTGTGCATCCTGGTAGTATTTTTATTTAGAGAAAGATAAGAGCAGAAGCTAATACTTTTGTAGAAATAGAGACTAAAATATCTGTGGGAGATTAAATGCCATAAAATACACTCTACGTTTGGGGCATTGGTCTTAAAAATAAGTGAGCTGAAAGAAAAATGCATTTTTAATCTTAGAGTAAAGGCTTTTGCAAGCGTTACACCTTTGTGGATCTTACTTAGTGTCTGTACTTTATTAAAGGGGGACTGAGATCTTTTTACTCTATTACACGTGAACCCTAAACTACCTCCTGCTAAAAACATGCACATCTGTTATTGATACAGCATGCACATGGGTTGGGTCTTACTTCAGTGTCATATCTTTGATTGATTGAAATAAATTAATGTACTGAGAAAGGGCTAATATAGATACAGAAGATGAAGTTTCCAAAGACAAAAACATTCTGCAAGAACTTCTGTTTACCCTGGAGTAACAGTAGTTGGAAGAGGATTCTGTTTCGATTTGAGCCATAGAAGGCTACAAAAAGGTTTTTTGTAGAATCATTGAAATGTTGGCTGGAAGGTACCTCTGGAGATCACAAGGTCCAATCTCCTGTCTGAAGCGGGCTTTCAGATACCACTGTGATCTACGTCTTGCTACCAGCTGAAGAGCCTTCCAAAGGATCACTTGGATGATCCCCCTGTCTGCCCTTCAGACACCTTCTACTATGACATCCATACTTTGGAAGATTTGCTGGTGGGGTGGACTGCATGTTGAAGTGACCTGGTGAGCTCCTTTAGGTTAGTAATGTCTTAACCTCAGTCACTTACTTTAAAATCATCTTAAAGTAAACGCAAATAAAAGTTTATTCACACCACTTGAAATAGACAAGCACAATTAAGCATAACCATATATTTTATACCTACCTACCTGTCTACAACTGTGTATCTATGTCAGCTTAACAGAACTAAGTAGAAATGTTTTTGAACAGGTGGAGAGCTAGAAGAAAAACTATGTTCAAACCACTGAGCTGACACACTAGTTACTAAGGGCCTACCATCTTCACTGCATGTTCCTGTCTTCCTCCTCCAGTGGCTGGCAGCCGGTTTTGCTTTCCTTCCGTATGCTAAATATGGCTGTCACTGACCTTGCGTAGGGACATTTTACCTCACTACATGGTTAGGGGGAAGGTTAGGAAGGAAGAAAAAAAAAAGGACAGCTTTCTGAAGTCTCAGTGAAGTAAAATGGCTCAGCAGTATGGCAGAGACACACTAAATCTGAAAGGGATCTTGTGGGAGTACAAGGCTGGGCATCAGCAGAAAGATTGTTCAACACTGTTGCGACCTAGGATGAAATCAGACAGGCTTCTCCTGTCCAGCTGATTTTCTGCCCTAATAATGTGGCTGTCAGAGGTTCTGGTTTTGTAGATATCTTCCACTTCTGTTTACAACTATTAAATAGTACTTTTTGCAACATGTCATCTTAATGTCATCCTGAGATCATCCATGACTAAGTACTTCTTCCCCGGATTTGCTCCCTTCCATCCTTAGGCAGGACACAGGCTATTTATTTATTTTAATGGCACATGCATTGTTTTGTTTTCGTGTCCTTTTCTGAGTTACATCAGTAAATGAGATAATATCCAGTTAAAAATTCTTGCCTCAAGAGGAGTAAAATTCTCATTCCTCTTCTACTTTGATGAATCCACACACGTGTATTTCATGTGAATGTATCTTCTGTCAGTCTTTATATCACTCTAGCGTGACATGTAACCAGCATCTTTCTTTGCAGCTCATGACTGAAAGGGGTGTTAACAGGAATGGTCTGGGGGTGACTGTTTGCCAAAATCATTACTTTAAAACAACTGATAGGTAATGTGCAGATAACTTACTGGTAAAGAGTTACAGACATTTACTACCAAACAGAACATGATTTTTGGTTCTGATCTCAAAGTCTGAGTTTTATCTAAAAATCTGGAAATGGTGGTTTACACGCTTCAAATAATATATTGAAAAAGACAATCCAGTGCCAGTCTGTCAGTTTTTCTCCCTTCTTCTACAGATAACAGAACCAGCTGGCTGACTGCAATTAGCCTTCAGAACACACACACCAGGGAGCATCAGCTATGACTATATGCCCCAAGGAATATAGAAATCCAGTGTGTTTCCTAACACAACCTCTGCACATTGACATGGTTAAAACCTAGATTCAAATCCAGCCAAGCTGGGAAAAGCAGGTTCCTGACTTACAGTTTTTGTTTTAGATTCTGATCCATGCGGTAAGGTACTGGAAAATTTCTAAGCTCAGCAAAAACGCTGACATTCCACAAAGCACAAATACAATACATTTAACCAGCAAGGAACACAAAATACTTCCTTTACCAAAACTATCCACAAGCCTACAGCTAATCTGAAGAAGGGAGATAAGTCACTGGCTACTCTGTAGAAGCAGCTGACAGGCCAGTATTTAAGGACACCAGATCTCTGCTGGACCTTTATACTGATTCTACATATTGATATATAATCAGAAAATAAAATACTGATGATACTAAACTATCTTCAAAAGAAGAAAGAAATTATGAAAATTCAAGCCTAATTTGTTTGCTAATATTTAAAGAGAAATTATCTTCCTTACTTCATTCTCAATTCCTACCTTGTTACAATGGGCTTCCAGGTTTTGCTGTCAGCTCCATCAATTTGGCTCTCAGCCAGATTTAGCCTCTTAATGGTTTCCTCCAGCTGCCCTGTTAACTTCTCATTTAATACCTCCAAGTTATTCTTTGCTATTCGTAGCTTCTCTCCATTGTCAGCTTCCTATTGTTCAATAAAAACAAAAGTTTACGGAATACTTAACCTAACGAAGCTCAGGATTATCTGAAGTGAGGGTGGGATAGGGTCAGTGCTGATTTAGAGGAAAACTACCTACAAGATCACTACTGCTATAACTTCCAAATTCTGTCTTTGGCTGCTCCCTGGATGTCTCCCCTCCACGTATAATTCAAAATTCTATCATAGCAATAGCAGTTCTTAGAAAAAGTGTCCAATCCATATCAACCATTAAAAATATATATAAATACACTTACCACGACCAGTAACTAATGGAAATCAAGGGATGCATTACAATGACCATACCTTTTTCAGTTCTTTACGCAGCCTCTCGTTTTCAGTAATGACTTTTTCCATTCCTTTGGTTTTAGAGTCATGACGCATACTCAGCTGGTCCCCCACCTGAAGTTTCATCTTTTCCATTTCAGACTAAATATCAAACAGTTTCTTAAAATACATATGCATTGCTTAGTAGAAAATATCAGATCTCCATTTTTAAAGCATGGCATAGTGACAGCTACCTAGCACAATGAACATAACATTTAATCATGTATTTAAATATATCCTTAAGGCACAGAGTGCCATTACATAAAACATGCAGTACAATGAAGTTCTGCTTTTCTATTCTACAGCCTTCATATTTGGTATTCTTAAACCACTTTTCTGCCAGTCGATACCAATAACAGGCTTGCCGTTTCATTTTCCTACTAACTTGCACGCTAACCGGCTATCTGAATATAGTTGCTGGAAAGATATCGGTACCTTTAGCTTCTCATTTTCCTGTTCAAGACCAAGTAATTTCTCATTAGAAACCACAGCTGGAGTTTTTTTCAGATCCTCATTTTCTCTTTGGACTCTCTCTACAACCTTTTTCATCAAACCAATTGTTTTTTCCAATTCTGCAACTGTCTTTCCGCTTCTACCAGCCTATAGAGAGGAAAGAAAAAAAGTCAAAGGAAGTTAACAGTTCATCTTAACATTCTGAGATACTCCAAATGTTATTTTATCACTTATTTCCCCGCTGCAATGTCTGTTTATTAAAAAAAGTTATATTTTGGTGTGAGTTGAGCCCTGAAGTTTCTTGCATACTTAGCTCCTCAAAGTCAAGACAGCAATTCCTTCATTTTCTGTGTTACTCAAGAAAGCTGCAGTTAGTCTCGAAATCTGCTGTGCTTTATGAACTAGACTGAAACATCGGCAAAATAAATCAAAGTACTACTTTATTTTTTAGCTTTCTTGTACAGCAGTTCCCTCATCCAACAGACCATGCAACTGCTTGAATGCTAATACTGTCTGAAGGAAAATAAACTTCTGCTGGATGAAAGTGACAGGAATAACTACATTTTAAAGCATAAGTAAATCTCCCTTTTCCCAAGGCATATATTCTCCTTGCAGAGTGATAAATATTTAAAAAATACATATCCCTTATTTCTCCGCATATGCTAGGCTGCTGAATATTTCAACTTCTAAATGTAGAACACAGAAACTGTAAGTTTTGGGGTTTGGGGATGGGGTTGTTTTCTTGTGTTTTTATAAATATCAAAGTCTTTTAATAATTACTTTACAAATCCAGATTAGCACAAGCTGTAAAGACTTCAAATGCTGTGGGAGGTGGAAACACAGTAAGAAGCTGAGAGCTTTAAAATTTATAGAATACGAATCAAATATGTTTTGATCCTATACTGTCTTGTTACAAATGAGACAAATACTGTAAGTATGAAGTAGCATGGATTTTCTGATGCTCACTGGAGTTACCAGCAAAGCTTTTCACAACTTTAATGATCCAGAACTAGACCCATAGAAAAATCACTGTATCAATGATAAACAGTTCAGGTATTAATAACACTTCAAAGCAAGTGAGCTTGCAGTTGCTGTTAGAAAATAACCTGATTTTTTGAATCTTATAAAAAACACATTAAAGGTTTCTAAAGTACCATTTTATGGGAGCAAATTAGTAATACTCTAGCGGATTAAGTTCAACTGTAAAAAAAACCAAAATAAAACTGAAACCCCAGACCTCCCCTCTCCCCCAAAAGACTGAAGAAACCTCCACATGTCTTCTGAAAGAAAATTGTTTCAACTGGAATGTCAATGCTGACCATTTCCAATTATGAAAAAAAGCCTAAGAAATTCATTTAAATTAGACAATATTACCTAAACCGTAGTTCTGACAGTTGTCCTGCAAAGGCAGGATATCCATGAAGAGTCTTTTTAACTGTATGCAAAAAGTAGGAGTTTTCTGTATAAATGATGTGAAATCTTCTTTTACAGTTTTGAAATGTATGCTACAAAGACCTGAATTTGAAAGCTGTATTTGTCACTCTTTCCTTCCATTCTTCTTTCAGTTTAGGAAACAAAACCACATTTTCGTGATAAGGTATTTGGAAAAGCCTCTTTCTCTTTGGTTTGACTTTCCTTCCTCTCTTTGCCAAAGTCCACCAGTCATAGGCATTACCATCAGCTGACCTACAAAGACATCAAAATCCGATGTTCCAGCTCAAGTAAAGCAAAACACTGGGGTATAACTTCCCTTGCGTGTTTTTGTGTGCTTGCATTTTTTTTCAGGCATCCAATAGCATGAGCTATCACACTTCTGATAAGGCAGGTATTACTCACATAGATCATACACGGTAGCAAGTTCAGCGTTGAGTTTACCTGTGATCTATGCATACTTAGCAAACCTGACACATCAGACATTCTCAGCAAGGAATAAAGAATCTGTTAGAAACAGTGTAGTATATCTATCCCAGCCTATAAACACCTCCAATCAGTACCACAGTCAGTAACCAAGAGGATTAAAATAAGTGGGGGAACAAAAAGTGGCTGGTAACAAGTACATGATCCTGCAGTGAGGTGCAGACATATGGAAGTCCAGACATTTATTTTAGCCTGAGCAGTTGAGTCTATTTGTCACTGTCACTTTATTCAGTTGCCAAAAATCTCTTCATTGTCAAAGCATACCCTGTTACTAAGGTATGCAATTATATATTACTTCTTCGCTTGCAAAAGAAAGCAAAAGCATTTCTCTCTCACATTCCATTATACCTTAGTAAGTTGAATTTGCACCTAGCATTTGGAATTTATCTACGTTCCTTCATGCAAAAATTGCAAGGTGTTAATAAATAGACATTTATAATTTAGATCTTATGCTGTAGTCCACCCTGTTTAGTTAAGAAGCAAATGCAATTAGCTGTGATAACTGGCATAGATTTATTCTGGTTATTTATTAGGAGGAAGAAGAAGCAGCAATATTAGTCTAGTAGACTAAACTAAACTAAACTAAAGCAGTTGGATAGAAAAAAAAAATCAATCCTGGTCTTAACTATAGCAGTAGTATAGAATGGATCTGACTTTTATTTTTCAGGAGAGCCACAGTCTGTGGCCCACCTTATAACATCAGCGACACCAGTGAAGGAGAAAAGAGCAAACCAAGAGGTCTGCTGCATTTAAAAGCACTTGACAGTGGAGTTCCTGGTAGAACCCACACAGAGCTTCTATTTCTTTGTGAAAAAAAAAGATCACTCTGATGTAGAGTTATTTTCGGGTTTACAGGAATATATGGGCTGTGCCTACCTGGTATAACGTGAATTAATCCTGTGCTGTATCTGTCCACATTTCACCAAAGAGGTTGTATTGTGTTAATTAACTGTTCACTAACTAGGGTTTTTCTTTCTTAATTCTGTCAGATTTACATGTCTATTTTCTCACGCTCTGTATTTTGTGACAGTTTAAATACAAGCTTCCTACTTGGAAGCTAATGGTTCCATTTCCAGCACATTCTTTTGGCTGAAGTGGATATCATGCAACGAAAATTGAAGTCTTAATTCTCTTAAACTTAACTCTGAAGTTGAGCTTATATAACAGCATTCATCTCATGAGTGATTTATTTCTAGAGTGAAAGCTGGACAGACAGTAATATAATTACAATGATTGCCTTTGAGATCTCAAAAGGCAGAATCTTGCAAGACCTAAGAGTTTAACCTTATCAAAGATATAGCAGCATCTCAGAGGAGAAGATCAGGCAAGGCCAGAGAAGGCTGGCCACGAAATAAATGTTGGGTTGTTGCTGAACTGTTTTCTTTTGGCAAAATGAAAATGAGTTCTTATTTATTAAGCATCGATACAATGGTGACAGCAGACATTCATAAAAAGTTGGATAAGGTACAACAGCACTGTTTTCTCTACTTCAGTACAGAGTATCAAGGGCAGAGGACAGAAAGAAAGAGTAAGACTTCGATCACCACTTAGCAGCTCAAATGAAACAATTATAATGGCGGTATTTATTTTAATTTGAAGATCCAGAAGTATAAATCCACAATACCTTCTGTTTTATTTTATAGCTACATTCTATGATTTGTTCTAGTTTTTAATCTTCTTTCAGAAAGAAACCAGCTCCAAAAAGAAATGGCTACATCAGCATCATATTTTTTCTATTTTTACTTCCATCTTGTGCAAAATAATGTTTTGACCGCCAAGAAACTTGTAGAACAAAAGAAGAACAAGAGCGTAACAAATATCAAATTCCCATAAATGCTGTTATAAAGTAGGTGGCCAGCTTCAAGGGGAAAAAGCAAACTGAATCAAACCAACCTCCTTTGCTTAATTCTGCTTCCTGTTCCCAAGTTACAGTAAGTACTGAGTTGATATTACGTATCAAAGAACCCACAGAAGTCCTCAATCTCAAGACGCATTTCCAGGAAAAGCTCTTTGAAAACCTCAGGTTGTTCATCTGTTTGGTTGGTTTGTTTGTTTTGCTTTGCTGACTTTAAACTTTCTAACATATAAAAGCCACTTGCAGGCTATAAGCTGTAGTTGTAAGCATCCCGTCCAAACTGAAAGGCCGCAAAATAACACCTATTCACATCAAATTCACAAAGTGATTTTTCCTCATCCTCTTGACTTGTTCTCCTTCAACTCCCTCACTTGTTAGTACTTGTCTTGTACACCTCAGTCGTGCACATATTTTCAATTATTTTCTTCTTGGTTTTATGTTAGACTTTTCCCTCTTCCCGTTTTCAATGGTTTTCCTCCCTATTTGATCAAACTTAAGTTTCATAAACTCTGTTAGAGTAGCAAGTCTCAAACATTAGTCAAGATAATTATGACAATATCATAACAATATTATATTCAATATTAATATGTCCAGTATTATAACCAGAGCGGTTAGAACATAATCTAAACATGTTAATAAACCCCTGGGTGCAAACAGGTGACACTAGGTAGACAGGAATTTGGGTTGATAATCAGAGGTCACTGATGTGTACCTGCAATCTACCCTACAATAAGTATGCAGAGAGAAGGATGCCCCCAGTCCTTACAGACGGAAAGCTAAATACAAAAGGCAATTCAGAGTACTAAGAAAGAGGAGGTACGTCCAGCTTCTGTAACAGGTTCAAAAGCTCTGCTGCTTTTATTATATGTAGTGTCTGACCAGCATCCCATCCAGCTGCTCATGAGAACTTTCCAAGAGGCATTTTCACTCTATCTACCTGGGAGCCCAAGTGTCTATTCATGCTTGGGGACTGTATGAAGCAGAAGTTGTCAAAGGGTCAGGTAGTGTATCATTTGAGTTATCCAGGGAATTTCTTCCCCCACAATGAGTCTTCCCCAGCTATTTTGCCTCCAACATTTCCTAAATAACTTCTGTGGTTCATGCTTTGTCTCAACCCGTCCCACACCTGGCCCTTTAGTTATCTTGATTATCATAGCTACCTCAGTTTTTTATTCCAGAAATTAGGTTAAATCTTTATCACTTCTCACTCCCCACAGTTTTTGTGCAGTTACACTGAGACCTCACTTCTTTCCCATTAGCCTAAACAAGACTGTAGGGTACCTCCACACCCCAAATCATGCCTTGGACAGTGACTGTAAACTGCCGCAGCCTTTTACCCTACCTGGAGTTTACCTTTGTCTAATTCACAGCTCACGCTGCAAAGAAAACTCTCCTCTTAAGATGTGGACCAAACCAACTGTCCTCTCTGATGCCCCGGGGAGTATTGCAACTGTTCTGCATTTGTAAGTGAAAATCCTGGGAGCAGGTGAGAAAGGAGAAACAGGGGAGCAGAAAAGCACTGTCTTACCTAAAGGTAAGGGAAGTGTCACCTTACAAGGAAGGTGCCATTTACCCAATCACTGTCACACTTCTGCAGTTAAATTCCATTAAGCTACAAAAGAACCTATGCAAAAT